AAGCCCTAATTTTCACCCGATTTATTTTTTTCACCATTTTTGTTGTTTTAGCTTAGGTTTCTTGAGTTTTTCACCCAATTATATTAGATCTATCTATTATTATATGATTTTAAGCTTTAAATCCCAAAATCATTTTCCCATAAAAAAACCCCAAAAATCTAAAAGACTCATAATCACAAATCACAATCAAATGAGAAGATTGATCCCAAACAAAACAAATGATTTGATTTCAGATCAGTCTTGATCATTGATACATTTGTTTGTATATTATTTTTCTTCTCTTTTTATTAACTAATATTTTGTGTAACTAATTATTATTGTACAAAATATTATGAAAAGAATTTTTTAGAGTGTTAGTGTATATATGGAACAAAAACTTAGATTATGTGCATTTGAGGGAATTCCTCAAAATTATATATATTTATAGAAATTTTTATTTATCTAAGAGAATTTAAAATATAATGTGTAAATTATCCTATTTTTATTTATAAATTTTTTAAAAAATATTAGGTAAAATAATAACAACGACATTTATCGAATTATCCAACTTTGACGTACATATACATTTGATTTAGAGAAATATAATCTTGCTAAGATTTTGGTATTATTTTCTGTTTTCCATGGAATTTCTATAATTTTTTTTTTCTTAAAGGTTTATGTGTTCAAATATTTAGTTTTTTTATTGAAAATTTTATTGATGTTGTGTACCACTGTATATATAATCCATGATTCATGTTGATTCGTATTTAATTTTGTTAGGAAACTATAATGATCATGCAAAACTATTTTTTCCTTCTCCATCATGTCTTTCAATAGTTTTATGTTATATTTTTATTCAGTTTTTATTGTTTTAATTGTTAAATCGAGTTGTTGTAGATTTTTTAAAATTGATAATTGATAATAATTAATTTTTTTATACATGTATTATTAATTGTTAATTTTTTTATTTAACTTTTAAATTTTTAAACCATATTAACGTTTTCTGATTTAATAAATATGTTGATTTGGATCAATCAGACTGAATTTACTTTTTTTTGTTGGACATAATTTGTTAAATTAACTTTTAATGTTTTAATTATACTTAATGATTTAAAAGCTGATGTGGACCAATTAAATCAGGTATTTCTGTCATAATCATACTTAACATTTTCTATTTAATGAATATGCTAATGTGGACCAATCAGATCGAGTTTTTTAATCCCATGTGGACGCCCTCAATTCACTATGTCATCAACTTTTATATATTACTAGGTTTGTAACTCGCGCTACGCACGAGTCTATATTAATAATTTCGTTTGATTTTTTGGCTAATATCTTTTAAATTATCAAAACTATAATATATTACAATTTTTTTTTGTTTATTTAAAAAATTAAAATATAATACGTAGTATTTCCTATTTTGTTTATAAAATTATAAATCTTATTAAGTAAAATCATAGTAATGACATCTAACGAACTATCCAACTTCAATGTGCATATGTTTGATTTAGAAAATGATTTCCTTACTAAATTTTTGGTGTTTTATTTTGTATCCTTATGATTTCTATGGTTTTTTTTTAAAAAGGTTTATATGTTTAAATATTTAGTTTTTTTACTAATTGTCTCACTAATGTTGTGTACATATACATATATAATATATGATATATATTGATTCATATTTACTTTTGTTAGTAAGCTACACTAATCGTATAAAGCTGCATTTTGCTTCTCCGCCAGATCTTCTACGAATTTTAGGTTATATCTCTATTCAGTTTATAAGATCTGTTTTATTTGCAGTCAACTATTTGCTAATTTGTTTTTAAACATGTAAGATGATGTTGAGACTTCACATTATCACTGTTTTTTTTTTATCTTTTGTGTGTTTATTCATGTTTTGATTTGAATATTTTATTGAATTTGATTCATAATTTTGTCATATTATATTATTAAATAAAATTTTAGAGGATGTTGCTCATGAGTCGTTCATGTTGACTAAGTTATAAGCAGTAAATATGTATACAAATCAGATTTATTACTTATTATATTTTAAATGTAAAGTTACTTGTGTAGTATTTTACTTTGTTAATTTTTTAACCAGATGAAACCAAGATATTAATTTTTGTAAATTTAAATAATATGTTTGATTTAGAAACGTGTATAACCTAAAACTTTATATGGTTATTCATAGTCAACACCAATATTTTAGAAATCATGAATGTTTTTGGAACTATATTTCAAATTAATTTTCTTCTTAGATCTTGTTTTTTGTTATTTTAAATATCTTTGATGATAATTTTATATTTTATTTTAATTATCTAATTTTCTGCAGGTTTGATATACTTAGAACATATATATTTTTAATTAATTTCTTTTGTTATTGCTTATTCAAATAGGTAGCATATATATTAATCTAATATCTTTTACATAAATGCTTTTTCTTTGTTAAATTTATTTTTTAAATTAATTAAAATGCTATTTTGACATGCTATAACTGGTTATTCTAAATTTTAAGTGAACTTCTCTCAAAAGCTTATACCATCATTTGCTTTTTTAGTTAATATTTGTTTGATAGTTAGCCTAAATATCAAGCTAATTTTACTTTATACGACTTTTTCCTTTGATAACTTACCTCTCTTGATATTGATTTTTATTTTATTTTAACACACCATTGTTTTTAAAATATTGATATTTTGAAGACATAAATTTTTTGTTAGTTAAATATTTTTATATGAAATTTTTAAGTAGTTAGTCAGATATCAAGTCAATATATTTTTAAGTGTTTTTTAAAAAAATAATATTTTGTAAAACTTAATTTTCGTTTTAGTGTTTTAGTTAATTAATTTCTTAAATAATTATCTTAAATATTTATATTATTTTTGTGTTAAGTTTTTTAGTATTATTTAAGTTCTTTTTATTCTCTTACTTATTCTGTTTATATTGATTTTGTTAGATAACTAACATAGATATTAAGTTAATATCCTTTTTTGTTAATTTAACTTTCTCGATATAGAGTTTCTTTTTAATTGTATTGACATGTTGTAAGAAATAATTTATGTTTTGGTTTTTGTTAGTTAAACATTTTTTTATATTATTTTCTTTAGTAATTAGCATAAAATATCATTTTTGGTTTGTTAAGATTTTTGTATTAATTTTTTTAATATTTCCTAAAAAATTATAAGTTTTTGATGACTTTCTTTTTTTGGTAATTTAAGATGAATGCTTTTTTGATAGTATTGATATTTTTAAATAAAAATTTTAAATGTTTATATGAAAATTTAATCTTATTATTTTTTCTAAATAAATTACTCATTTAAAATATATATGCTAATTTTTTTTTAATTTATCTTTTTCGTTATTGATTTACATATTTGTTTTTGTAAGTTTAATTTTTATGACAATGAGTTTCCATTTTATTTTTACAATAGATTTAGACTTTAAACATAAATTTATTTTATATAGTTAAAAAATTATCTTAATTTTCCATTCTATTGTGATAATTTTATATTTTTGTATTTTTTAATTTATTTAAATTATTAGTAATATTTTTTTATTTTTTTATGTTTAATAAAAAATACTGATATAGACTAATCAGATTGAGTATATATATCCTATTTGGACGCTCTCATTGGCCTAAGATATCAACACGGACCACAACTAATATATTTTAAGTTAGCAGTTCAGATTTTAATTGTTTATTGTGATTAAATTTTTAAAATAATTTAATTATAGTTTTAAATACAGTTTTTAATAATATTGTTTAATAAATATTATTTTTATTTCATAATCTATTTATATGTTAATTTACTTTTTTATTGTTAATTGAAAAATAAGATCTATTTTCAAAATTCTTTTTTATTAACAACTAACTTAAAATTTAGAAACTTTTCTAATAACAACAAAAAAAATTAACTAAAATTTAGAAAATTTTCTTATAACAATTAAAACGAATTAATTAATTTAAATATACAATATATATTAACTAAATATAATGATGATGTGTATCAATAGAATTGAATCTTTAAATTCTATGTGGACACCTTTAGAGATATTTAACATCAATTTTTATTAGTAATAGATATGATGATGTTTTAGTTCTAGCGCAGGTTTTAAGACATTTTACTTTTTTTTATTACTTTTTTGCTTTCCAATACAATTGTACCAATGAAATAAAAGTAAAAATAATATTTAATTTAAAATATATTAATTAAAGCCAAAATATTAAACTTTAAAAAATAAATAAAAATCCTAAAATATCATACATTTAAAAACAGGAAGTAAGTGATTACAATAAATGAAAAATTAAAGGAAAGCATAGTTGTAAAGTTGACCGAGATAGTTGATGAGACCACCTAGGCCTTGTCGGAGCTACCAGAGGGTTCCTTGATCAACAATCATTCCCCCTGATATTTCAAGACCCAGCTAAGGCCTGCTATTTTGGGATCCACTCGCCAAGCCGCATATGTATTACACACAACCTCGTCCTGCTGGATTTGTGGTGGACCGATCCGATGAATATACGAATAAGATGACTTTTTATTGATAATTTTGAATTCAATTGATAGCTTCCTGTACAAGGAACTTCTCCGAGTAGTAGTACCCCGACTTTGTTGTGTACACTCCCGAGTCATTAGGTAGCCATGCAAATTATTCTTGATCCCCTTTGAAGTTTAGTCGTAGGCAGAGGATTGTTTCTGCTAACTCAAGTAGCAACAAATTGATTTTTTCTTTTGTATCTTCTGGTGTCGTAGGCAGAGATTTGCCACCTAACCAGTCTTTTGCAAATTCTGGTGTTGGTCCCATAGGGCATTGTGGATTGGATCAGACTAAAGATTGGTTGAGCTGCTGTCACCTAATGTTCTTCCTAAATTTTGAAAGTATAACGTTCCAACCATGTGAGGAAGATGTCGGAGCTTGAGTTTCCATGAAAGACATACCATCGCAATATTTTTTTTTTAGCACTTTTGCAAGTAGACAGAATGGTCTACAGAGGATTCTCCAGCTGAGTTTCAAGTTTATTTAAGAGAGAAAAAAACAGTTGTATTATCTTTTATGTTTCAAGTTTGGAGATGAACGCAACAACTCAACAAAAAAAGGCTCCTCAATTGCAGAAATGATTCATATGAAAGCAACAAAGATTCAGATGACCACTGGAAGGGTATCCTCGAGCTTATGCGTAAATTTTAGTACAAATATCTTCAAGTTCGGACAAATGATCAGACAGTGAATGAACAAGAAGGTGCACAAACGAGGCAAGGACAGTAGATTTATAACAGGCCAAAAACCAAACCACGTCACTGTGAACCTTCCTTGAAGCAATCAAAGCTTACAACACATTTGGTAAGCTTCTCTCTTTAATCAAAAGATTCAAGACTCCATAAAACCCAAAAATCAGAAGCTTGTCATTTGATAATCTGTGGTCTGTTGCCACGAGTTTTCGATCTGGTTTTGTGGACTTTGGGTGGTATATCAACCGTTAAAGCATACATTCTCACAGCAAACAACTCTTGCGGAAGACCCTTTTGATCCTGGAAGATTGTTTAGGAGAAAAAAGACTGTAAATTTTTAAACCAAATAGTTCTTAGATACAGTCTTTAAGATAAACATATATAGCCAAGAACTCGACCTTTGTTTTATAGAGATGTAACCCACAACGACGAAAGAGCTGTTTGAAATACGGATCCGATCTGGTGATGCTACGATCCTCTTTATCCAAAACAAATCCTGCGCAAAACAAAACAAAGTATAAGCATATTTTGTGTGTGTCAGAGATGGTTCTTCCATAAGAATGTCAAAGTGAGGTTCGAAGAGATAAGCGAAACAGAAACAGACCATTCTTAGCGAGATTCTCTTTCACGACGAAAAAACCACGAGGTTTGAGACAGCCCTGAGATGAAGCAAGAACACATAGAGACTAATCAGTAAAAACACAGTGCATAGTAACTTGTAACAGAAGAGAAGAAACAAAGTCTTTACCTTTGCTCTGTTGAAGAAAGAAACAAAGTCATCGTCGGTGAGATGACCAATGCACCACTGAACCCATATGATATCGTACCTTCCAGCAGCTGGAGTAAACTCCTATGATTATATAAACATTCACAAACTAAACGTGAAGGAGAATAAACAAGAGATAAGATACAGAAATTAGAAGAGATACTCCAAGAACAATACCTGAAGCGGGACACAGAAAAAGTTAGTTGCTTTGTGCGTTTCTGATCCCGCAGAAGCCAAATTTTCACGCGCTGCGTCTAGAAATTGCGCTACAGGCTCGAGAAGATCAACCTGGATCAAGAAAAGGGTTTTTCATCAAAATGATGGCATAAAACAGAGAAGAACAGAGCACAAGTTAGTGAATCAAAGAAGAAAAACACTCACCTCGTTGAAGTACCGTATCAGGAGATTCTTGGTGATCCTCCCAACGCCAGATCCACAATCTGCAAATGATTTGTGTGATTTGCAAGAAAACACATTTGTAAAAAGCAATAGACGCTAATGAGAAGAGCGTTACCAAGAGCTACTAGATGCTGATTTGTTCCTCCATTTACTAATCTCTCTTGCATAAGAGTCTTGAGAAAAACCTCACTTCCTATGATATCGGCATCATTCACATGCCCATATCCTCCTAATACTCCATCAACAGAAGCTTCAACACCCTTAATTAAGAGCATAAACACACAAATCAAACTAATTTTAGTCCATTTGCTGCTTTAGAACCCATACTAAACATGTCAGCTTAAGAAGGCAATTGAATCTAAGAAACTTTACAGAGAACTAAACATATAAAAAGGTAAACTTTGAGATTACAGAATCGAAATTAAGCCAAAGAAAAGAAAAATTCCCAAAACTTACTTCCCAGTAAGAAACTCCGTCTCTGTACCATTGAGTTTTCTTCGTTTCATCTCCTTCTCCAATTTCTTCCCTCCACATCTCTTGTGCGCTACTAAACTCTTTCCCTTCAGAATCGACGCCACAAACCTCCATCGGAAAATCCAACGAGCGAGCTGAAAAGATTCTTCTCTCTCTTCTCCGTTGATACAGAGACGGTGGTGAAGCAAACGCCGTCGACGGCGGCGAGATATGGTTTCGGTGGTTGCAATGGAAGTGTCCAGTGGCAACAAATGGGCTGTAAAGGGAAAGTGACATTTTTGTATGTATTGGGCTTTTTATGATTTTGTGGCTTTTTAATTCAAAGCCGGGTCTCGGACTATCCAGAACTCAACCCGACTCGCTTTCGTGGCTTTTTAGTTGGGCTGGAGTCTGGACCGTGGACCCAGTTTATTTTAGTTTAAGGGGTCATTAATCTATGTAACTCTGACATTAGTAACATGTCTCTGTCTGATAAATTAGAAAATAAAAAAGACGATGGAACCAATGTGAAATGCGAACGTTATCAACGTGAAATACAACAAACTAATACTATGTCTTATATACATCGTCAACCGTCAACTCTGCGAAAAAAAAAAGAGAATCTTTACTTATTTAGTCTCGAAATGTATTGTATGTATCACCAAAAATAATATTTATTATTTTTAATATAGCTATTTTGGTTTAAAAAATAATTTGAATGAAAAAGTATCAATCCTCTCACCAAGAAAAAAGAATATCACTTCTTAATAATTTCACTTGAATTCAGTAATTTTTTCTATGTAATTTTCTGAAAAATTAGCTTTGGTAATAATCCAGCAAAAGGGGAGTTTTTCTAAACTTAAATTTAAACATTTTAAATAAAACAAATAAATATATGATGTGTATAATTCTGATTGGGCCAACATTATAAAGATTTATAAATAGTCTCCGCAGCGTGATTCAAAAGAATTAAATATTATATAAAAACAGAGTCAGTCTCTGCCTCGTGATTCTTAAGTCTCCGACTCTCCGATTATATTTACAGAGCGAGTCACAAGAAGAATACTAAAGAGATTAACAATGGAGATCATCAGTAACGAGAAGAAGAAACTCTCGAGACAATCATCGTCTTTCAGACTAAGAAGTCCGAGTCTAAACGCTCTCCGTCTCCACCGAATCTTCGACCTATTCGACAAAAACAGCGACGGATTCATCACCGTGGAAGAACTGAGTCAAGCACTCTCACGACTCGGTCTCGACGCCGATTTCTCCGAGCTCAAATCAACGGTCGAATCTTACATCAAACCGGAACAATCCGGACTCCGGTTCGAAGATTTCGCAGCACTCCACAAAACCTTAGACGAATCCTTCTTCGGAGTAGACTGTGAGTGCGACGGATCTCCGGAATCGGATCTTGAAGAGGCTTTCAACGTTTTCGATGAAGACGGTGACGGATTTATCTCTGCCGTGGAATTGCAAAAGGTTTTGACGAAGCTAGGGCTTCCTGAAGCAGGAGAGATCGAACAAGTGGAGAAGATGATCGTCTCTGTTGATAGCAATCACGATGGTCGCGTTGACTTTTTCGAATTCAAGAACATGATGCAAACTGTTCTTGTCCCTTCCTCTTGAATCTCCTGATAAAAATTTCTCGTTGGATTTCTCTATTTGCATGCAAAACAATTTCAGTTAGATCTTGTGTAATGTTTGTTACAACTTACAAGAAAAGAAGTTAATGTTCAAAAAAAAAAAAAAGTTATGTTCTGGTTTTGTTGGTCTGATATAAACTTTTTTTTTCGGATCTACAAGATATTTTGGTTTGAATTTTGAAACAACAACCAAAAAGGGATCGTTAAAACGATGTCATTACAGAGCTCTTCACTACCTCGACTCAACCTCATCAGCTCCCTTATAAAATGGGCTTGACAAGGCCCACTAGCCCACATTAGAGCCACCGAATATATAAATTGCAGGTTAAGTGAGGTTTAGGTTTATGTTTAGGTTTAGATATGTGATGTTAAGTCGGTTGGTGCAAAAAAGTTGAGAAGGTTACAATTTTAATCATCAGTTACCAACTTACCAATTGGCTTTGGAGTCGAAAACTTAGTCATAGATCTTCTCATAGAGTATCATGATCACGACTCAAAAGAGTTGCTAACTAGAATGGGTAATAACTATGATACGAGATGAGCCATGCATGAGCGAGCCAAAGCCAATTGGTTTTTGGCACATAGTTTTATTATATTTGATTCAAATGAAAATATTTGAATAAGCATAAAAATCCAAAGCGAAGATAACATCAAAAGCATAGGTTACGCAGAAAAATCCAACCAATAAAATATGAAAATTGCTCGCTTTAAATAATAAGAAAATAATGTGTGTTTTAAAAAAAACCCTAACTTTCTACCTTGAGGTGGTTCATGGAAAAGAAAAATTATGTATATATGTATATTGTTTTTTTTTTTTGTATCAAAAACATTGACAGTAATCATGTAGATCGTTACTCTATAATTAATTATGTTTTTCTTGACAAATTAAAAGTCTTTCATCTAAAAAATTAGGTATACAATTCATGGTCTAGATATAGGCTGTCATCTAATTCAATATATATGGATCTAGCTCTAGTGAACAAATGTTAAGAAGATTTCAGGAAATGAAATGATACAACAAATTTGTAGATAACTTGATATCATTTTATTAGAAACATAATTAGACAGTACACATTATTCCAACGATCACAATGCAAACCACAAACAAGCATATTTTGACTTAATATATAAAAAGAACAGTCATAGTTGGCTGTAGGTTTCCCAATATTGTGATTAAGAGTGTTTTTGATATTGTTACTAAAGACTCTTTAATCTTTGTATATACTCTAGGGTTTATATTGTAACTATATAAGGATTTCTTTCTTAGTGAATAAAGATCATCTTCCATTAAACTCTTTTACATAGTATCAGAAAACTAAGTTTTTATCGTTTTCTTGTTTTCTTCTCTTTTTATTCTCTTCATCAGGTTTGCGTCGTGCTTCCTGTTGTTTGGTTATTCGGTTTCTGCTTGATCTGTTGCTGATCAGCAAGTTGTTCGTTATCTCATCATCATGAGTCACGATAGTTTTACAGGTTCAGTTATGGCAAAATCCCATCCCGAGGTTGGTCGAGATGTGACTATTTTATCTGATTACTACCTATCAGCGAGTGCTGACTCTGGTCAATTGATTTGCACTGTTCTTCTCACTGGTCCTAATTATGAGAGGTGGGCGAAGTATATGTGCAAGGCTCTCAAAGCGAAGAACAAGTTGGGTTTCATTGATGATCTTGTCTTGCAACTGGTTTCATGAGTGAATGAGATCAAACTTTGGGGTATCATCAACTCGATGCTTGTGGCGTGGATTCTCAACACGATTGATCCCAAGCTTTGCTCCTCTGTTTCTTGTGCCGATACTGCCTTTAAACTTTGGGAAGACCTGCGCACCCGTTTCTCTGTTGGTAATGAGCCAAGAGTTTATGAACTCAAGGCAAATGTTGCGAATTTTAAACAACAAGGGTACTCGGTTCAGGATTATTTTAGTCATCCTAAGATTTTATGGGATGACTCGAATGATTTTGAACCATTGCCTGATTGTTGTTGCGGGCAAGTGAAGTGCAGTTCTACTCAGAAGCAAGTGAAGATCCGTGATAAAGAACACAAGTATCAGTTTTTAATGGGTCTCGATAATGTTCGCTTTGGCACTACACAATCTAATATCCTCTGTATGGTGCCTCCACCAAGTCTTGAAAGTGATTTTTCGATGGTTCTTTAAGAAGAACGTCATCAGTATGTTACCAGAATTACAGACTCAGTCCTTCGAGAAACTCTGGGCGTGGTCGTATTGTCTTCACTTGCACTCATTGTGGACGAACTGGTCATGAAGAGAAGACCTGTTACCAGCTTCATGGCTTCCCAGATTCTGGACGTCGCAGAAGTCGGGGTCGTTCCCACAACACGGGCCATGGTTGCGAAGTAAGCTATGGTAGAGCTAACTCTGCTCAAGCAAACTTTGGTAGCTCATCTGCTCAACAACATCCGATCACCACTGCAGATCGTCAATGCTTGGGATTAAATGATGAACAATAGGACACACTAGTCAATCTTCTCCATGCTGCCAAGTATACTCCTCGCGACCGACTCTCGGGTATCATCATTGATTCCAATGCCTCTGTGCATCTTACTGGGAATCTCTCTCTCTGATTTGACACTATGATATTGTACCTTGCCCAATTGGTCTACCTAATGGAGAGTCCGCTAATGCAACGAAACAAGGGAAAATGAAACTTGGAGATTCGGTTACACTTAATCGTGTTCTTTATATACTCAATCTCCAAGCAACATTATTGTCCGTGTCTTCGTTGCTGAAAGAGAAACCATGTTTAGCAATATTCACTAATAAGTTTTGTTACTTGCAGGACCGTGTTACGAGGATGCTGATTGGAGCGGGTAGTGAGTGTGATGGTTTGTATATCTTCCGGGGTGTTTTTGGATTTCAAGTTCATGTTGCTGCAATGGTTTCTCCCAGACTTTAGCGTCATCGTTTGGGTCATCCATCACAGTCTTTGCTTTCTCATTTGTCTGGTGTTATTGATTTGAGTTGCGATAGTTCAACCTCTACTCTTCCATGTGACGTTTGTATCCGTGCGAAACAACCTAGTTTTTCTTTCCCGGAAAGTAATAATAAAGCTGAAGAAGTTTTTGCATTAATCCATTGTGATGTTTGGGGACCCTATTAGACCCCTGCTACATGCGGCTCTGTTTATTTCCTAACCATAGTTGACGATTATTCCCGAGCTGTTTGGGTACATCTTCTTCGTGCAAAGAGTGAGGTTGCTCGCCTCCTGCAAAATTTTTGCTATATGACTGAGCGTCAATTCAATAAGAAGATTCTTAATGTTCGCAGTGATAATGGCACAAAATTTATGTGTCTCACACCTTTCTGTGCTGCTCAAGGTATTCATCATTAAACATCATGTGTTGGCACTCCTCAACAAAATAGAAGAGTGGAGTGCAAACACCGACATATACTGAATGTTTCCCGTTCTCTGCGTTCTCATCAATCGCACACCCTCCTTTGTTCTTGGTGGTCGCACGCCGTATGAGCTCTTATTTAAGAAGAAGCCATTATATTCTCAGATTCGTATCTTTGGATGTTTGTGCTATGCACACAAAGGTACTAAAAGACGTGGCAAGTTTGATGAACGCTTCTCTCGTTGTGTCTTTCTTGGTTATTCTCATGGACATAAAGGATGGAGAGTCTGTGATCTGGAGCGAGAAGAGTATTTTATTTCCATGGATGTGGTTTTCAA